ATACTAAACAATATGTGGTATTTTTTGATATTTAGGATCTTAATGTAAATTAATCAGATTGTATGAGTCCTTTACCATCTTGCCTTTTGCCACAACAAAAATTTTGTTTGTGAGAGTCATGTAGTTCTAGTTAATTCATTCTCATTGTTGTATAGTAGTTATTAAAGAAATAAAACAGTTTATTCACTTTCTTCTCTCTGTTTTCCTTGTTTTTGGCAGTACTGTGTTTGAACTAAGGGCTTCACACTTGCTAGGCAGATGCTCTGCTACTTGAGTCATGCTCTCCAATTCCCTTTCTTTTTGGCTTTAGCCTCCCCAGCCCCGCCTCTTTTTTTTTGGCTTTAGTTGTCTTTCAAGTAGGGTCTTGCTTTCTTCCCAGGCTTGCCTCAGACCGAAATCTTACCTAGGGCATCCCAGGTAACTAAGATCACAGGTGTGCACCACCATGGCAGTCTTTTGATATGTTTGAGATGGAGTCTTACTTTTTGCCTGGGCTGGCCACAAAGTGTGATACTCCCTATCTCTGCCTCCTGAATAGGTGAGATTATAGGTGTGGCTACTGTGCCTGGTCTTTCTCCATCTATTCTTGATAGACTTTTAAGTGGTTTCCATTTTTTTCTATAATATTACTGCTAATTGGAACATTTTAAACGTGTCTTATTATATCTGTGTGTCAGTTTTGAAAGGGTATTTACTTTTCATGTCAAGGATTAATACATGTTTTCAGCTTTACCAGATATCACTAAATGATTCTTCAAAGCAGCTGTACCAATTTGTAATTTCTCCTGCAATGTAGAACATTTCAGATTTTTTTCACATTTGGTAACAGGTATTAGCATTTGACCACCAATGTGAAATAATATCTCTTGATTTGAATGTACATTTCTCTGAATACTACTGAAGCTTGAACATCTTCTCATGTGTTTGGTGGCTAGTTGGGTTTTCTGTTTTCATCATTCATATAATGTAAAATAAGCTTTCCAAGGTTCACAGCAAATTTTGCTGAGTTTTTGATTGGGCTTAAATTCACTTGAAAATTGATTTTTTTTTTTGATGGTACTCAGGGCCTCCTGCTTTAGGAAGGCACTTTACCACTTGAGCTGCACCCCAGCTCAAAAATTGATATCTTCATGATATTTGCCTTCTGTCCATAATTGTGATATACATCATCAATTATCTCTGACCTAACTGAACTCTTCTGGGCTGGCAGAGTGGTTCAAGTGGTAGGGCACCGGTCTAGGAAGCATGAGGTCCTGAGTTAGCTGAACTCTTCCATAGAGTTTTATAATCTTTAAATATCATATTAATAAATGCTATACTTATTTTATACTTTACAGATTTTGTTGCTATTTTAAATAGTATCTTTTTGAAATTTACATTTTCTTTCTATTGTTGCCAATGTGCAGAAATATGACTTTTATTCATTGATCATATATCTCAATATACTTGGTTGTGCTATGTAGAAAGTCTTATTGCCTGTAAATAATGACAGTAGTTTGGTTCCAGTGTCCATTGTCACTACAATGTTGACTAGGAGGGATGTACAGGGTCCTTGACTTAAGCCTGGTTTTGAAGGGAATGTTTCTAACATGTTACCATTAAGCACAATATTTACTGTGGAGTAATTATTTCTCCTTAATAATTACTATTTAACTGTTTATAAATTGCTGTTTGGTATGAGAAGTCCCTTACTTTTAATCTGTAGATCAGTTTTTTAAGGAACTTGTATCTTTATTATATGGACTTTCCTTACTCATGAATAAAGTATGGCCTTCCATTTATCTAAGTCTTTATTAATGTCTTTTCAATAATTCATAGTTTTTTCCATTAAGGTCTTACATATCTTTTATTCAAATCATTCCTCCATGTTGTCTGTTTGATGCTATTATATACAGTAAATCTTGAACAGCTATCACTGTAGTTTTTAGCTCTTTTAAAAAAAATCTTTGATTCCCTTAATTTTTACTTAATTTCTTACATCTCGGCTATGTGTTTGAGCAAATGTGTTTTATGTTTTATTTTGTATCCCTATGTACATTGTAGTCAGAGTTTTCCATATTATCTAGCACAAGTTTTCTCAGTTTCAGTACCATGGCATTTGGGGTTGGCTAGTTCTTTATTGTGAGAGAATGGGCACTGGGGTTGTTTAACAGCTTCACTGATCTCAATCCACTGAATCCCAATAGTACCATCTGTTGATGATGACCAAAAATGTCTCTGGATGTCATCAAATGTCCCCTGAGGGGCAAAATCCCTCTGGACAAGAACCATTGATAATGGCCTATAATACTGCAGAAGTATCACTTATTTCCTTAATTTTTAGATACTGGTTTAACACTTTCAGATGCAGGTTCCTAGGATGTGAATTCTATTTCTTCTGTCTACGGTCACAGTGATTTTTATTTTCGTTCATAGTAATTTGTTAGCATGAGGTTATCTCCAGCTGGCATTGTGGCACAGGCCTATAATTGCAACACTTGGGAAGCGGATACAGGAGGATTGTGAGATTGAGGCCAGCCTGGGCTTCATAGTGAGACCCCATCCCCCCAAAAAAGTTCTCTGTGTGTCTCATATGCTCTGGGTTGGGATAGGACTGTTATGAGGGGATTTCGAGTTTGCTTCTGAAGACCTTATGAACTGTCCTAGTCGGAGGAAAGTTTATATTAATTTCTTGGTATGGGTTTAAAAGAAACCTCAACCAAATATTCATTGTTTGGGGTCTAGCCTAATCTCTCCCTTCTATGCTCTTCTTTCTCAAGTGCCTAACACCTGTAGCCACAATTATCTGCCTCCAATACTACGCCACCATTGGGCACTGACATTTTCTGCATCTAGGTGGCCTGGTTCTCCATGAGGAGCTGGATTTTTCTTTAAATATTTTCTCTCCATGTGCCAGATGCTAACCCTGAGTAATTTGGATTTTGCTGCCAAACTATGCCCGCATTAGTACAGAGGGAAAACAGCACGATAAGGCTCTTGCTGAGTGTGCGTGACAGGCAGAAAGCAGTTGTGGGTAAAATGGTGGGAGAAAATGAACTGAGCAGATAATGTTTTCAAGCCATGCCAACCCATGGCATTGTTATGTCATTTATAATTGTGAATTTCAAAAGTTAGAGACTTTAAAAATAAAGAATTAAGCATTTCATTTCTAGTAGTTTGGTTCTTTTTCAAATATAACTGGTAAATTTGGATATTTCTTACTCATGTGTTTAATGACCTTTTATTTAATTTTCCTCTGTTATTTATTTTATTTCTTCTAGTGCATGTAAATATTTTATAGGCTAATTTATAACAACATCTATTAACAAAGCTGTGACTTTTTAGCAGTTAGGTTAAAGTACTGTTGTTAGCCTGTGAATGGAGTATAGATTTTTTACTTTCTGAAACGCATAAAACTCATATTCAGCTTTCTGATAAAAAAGATAAAATAGTCCTAGTACCAGTTTTCTACTCTGAGTAATCATTTTAGTGTATTTCACTTCTGCAGTTACTCATAAGTAGCTCTATTTAAGTGATGTTTGGATGAATGGGCATAGGATTGACACAGCTATACCAACACTAGATAAATATATAAGTATAATTATACACAAATACAAAAGAACCATTAGTAACTTAGATAGAGTTTTTTCTAATTCTTTTAAGATGAGATTTTAACCTGAATATTGTCTGATGGGAATAGATAAGGCCCTTGCCCAGAACACAGGAGCTGATTTAATGTAAAGTATAGCTATGAAACTTCAAAGTGGAGTAGGCAGTGAGCACCATTTGCAACGTAAGCTTTGAAGAAAAAAATGAGTTCCAGTGGAAGTAGTTAAGAACACACCTATGCCATGAGCTCCACATCCCTCCCACCCAGACTCTACTCCAGGAGTGAGATCATCCCCCTAGATCTTCTGTTCCACTTCCGTTGATATCATCAGGAACTCTGATGGCCACTGTTGCCACATAGCAGTGTGTGAGAGTCAGGAGCTTCTGCACTTCCTTGGGGCTCAGGGTATGCAGACCTGATAAAAACCTAACAAGGTCATTGCTCAGCCCTGCTCACAGGCCCTCTGGACATTCGTGATGAAGTGGTGAAAGGGCCTGAGGCTCTGGGTGTGACAGCAAGCCTACAGTTGCAAGTGAGGGGTGTTAAAATGAGAGAGAAACTAGAAATTGGGTGTGGATAAGGACAAAAACCTATTTTTTGGGGGAGGCAGGACTGCAGGGTTGAATTCAGGGCCTTGGCTTGCTAGGTAGACACTCTACCAACTTGAGCCATGCACCATCCCTTTTTGAGTTGGTTATTTTTGAGTTAGGGTCTCGCTCTATACCTGGGGTGGCCTTAACTGTGGTCCTCCTATTTATGCTTACCCTCATAGCTGGGATGACAGGCACATACCACCATGCCTGTGGTTGAGATGTGGCTTCATGAACTTTTTGCCTGGGCTGGCCTCAACTGCGATCCTCCTGTTCTCTGCCTCTCAAGTAGCTAGTATTATAAGCTTGAGCCACCACACCCAGCCTCCTATTCTCCTTGTTTATGATACCCTGCAGAAAGGGTGCCTTTGATCTAGACCCACATTTGTCCAAGCCCATGTGGATAGGACAACTAAAAGTGGAAGTTAACCCTTGTGACACCAGTTTTTCTAGTTGAGTCACTTGCTTAGTCATTGGGCTTTTTTGCTCTTCCTTCCGAGGTCACTCATTGTAACTTCATCATTATTGTGATTTTCCCCTTACTCTGTTTTACATTTTGAAAAATTCAGAGAACCATGTGGGATTTTTTTGGAGATAATTTTGCCTTTGGTTTCATTTCCTTGAACATGTGGGGTTTCTTCTGCCTCAATTGGTATTTGGATCAGTCTTGCTTTTGGGCTTCATGTACTGAGGATCCTCTTCTATAGATTTAAAAATACGAATTTAATCTACTCAGTTTGGGAGACCAGCAAGAAAGGAAGAGCCTCAGACATAAATTACTTTGATAAGAGGATTTAAAAAAACCTCCTCTCTAACTACAGAACTCTTCCATTGGAAAGAACTTTGAAAGAAATGAAGAAAGTCCTCAGAAATGAAGTTGACTCTTCATGACTTATGGCTGTCTACTGAGTGGATTGGAGCTTTGTCACTGCAGTTCCTTAGCATGGCACTGTGCCAGGTGTCTGCCGAGGTCATCCATCAGGTGGAAGAGGCACTCGATGAAGATGAGAAGGAGGTGATGCTTTTCTTGTGCCGGGATGTTGCTGCAGACAAAGTTCCACCTAATGTGAGGGAGCTCCTGGATATTTTAAGTGAAAGAGGCAAGCTGTCTATGGTGGACTTGGCTGAGCTGCTCTACAGAGTGAGGCGATTTGATCTGCTTAAAAAGATCTTGAAGATGGACAAAACAGCAGTGGAGGCCCACCTGCACAGGCACCCTCATCTTGTTTCTGATTATAGGTAATTTTATCAGTTCTTCCCCAGGTTGCACTGGTGGGAGGGAGTGAGGAGATCTAGACTCTACTGAAAGACAAAAAGGGACAGTAAGAAGGGCAATTACATTCCTCTTTCTCCCCTCTGTTCCAACTGCCATCTGGTATCACTTCATTCCTTTGAAAGAATTGGGTAGAAGATCATAATGAAAGTGTAAAGGACAGATGGTCTGTGCTTGCCTGAAGGACAGAATAACAAAAAAGGAAGAAAGATAGGAACAACTAAGAGCTAGTAATTTTTGCCAGCCTCTGACAGTGGTGAACTGTCAGTGGTGTTTGCTAGCTGATTTTCTGTGATGTCATTCTGGCAATTTCCAGTAATAAGAAAGGAAATGACAAGTCTGACAGTCTTCTTCCTATATTTGTAGAATCAGTTTTTTTCCTGCTGACAATGTTTAGCCAGGAGGACTTCCTTCTTGCTGTCCTTCCACAGGTCCCACCCTCCTCTGGAGGTTCTGGGGAACCCAAATTAAAAAGCTCTTAAATTAACCACCTCCAAGCCCCCTTCAGGTTGAAGAGGGAATGGCCACTGATGTCTCCTAAATTCAAACAGCCTTCAAAGTCAAACATCCTCCTATTCACACTGTATGTTTTAAATGCTTGAAAGGACACAGAAGTCACAGGAAAGACTGAGTTTTCTGGGGGGAGAAGAAGAGAGCTTTCTCCTTTTAATTACTGTTTTGTTTTTCTCCAGGTCACTAAGTCTTTTGTTCTACCAATAATATATATTTTGAAATGGTGTGTATTTTTAAGAACTATTTTCAAGAGAGCTGAACACTTTGGAAAGTGTTGAGTATTGAGGTTGGGAGGCCTGTCTTAAGTCTCAGACAGACAAGTTGTCCAGGAAGGCCAAGCCAATCATTAACCTTGGTATGGATTTTGCTTCCTACTTATGAAGCCAAGAGTAGTAACACCCAGCTTCACAAGGCTGGGAGCGTCAATTGTGATATTTTATTGCAGGAAGTACTTTGTAAAACAGTGAAGCACTCTACGCTGTTGTTAATCTCAATCATTTTCCAACCATCATATGTCAGTTAATCTCACACACTTGGGGAAGCACTGGCTGGGTTCCTGAGACTAGTTTAGGGTCCTCTCTTCCTGAGTGGAGATGGAATGTCAGGCCTTTGGAGGACAGGTTGCAGTTGAAGCAGAGTGCTAAATTCATTTTTCCATCTGCTCAGCAGGCTTCATTGTATATCATTACGTGCTAGGTATTTTGATAAACTCCAGGGCAAAATGAGTGAAGAGTCTCCCATCTCTAAGACTCTTAAGGCCTGGGAAAGCAACTTTCTAAGGAATGATGACAGTATTATGGTAGCAATTCTAATGACAAGGTATCCCAGGAGCCCTGGTGAAATGGGATAGCAGCTCCAGCTGGTATAAGAGGACCTTTGTGGACATCTCAAGTCAGAGTCTCCACAAGGCAGCTAGCTGCCTTTTGCCCTTTGAATTCATATGAGGGCCAGGATTATCTCAGGGGTTTCTTTAATTTACAATCTTGACTCAAAGTACTGTTCCTGGATCAAGGTTCCTGGATCAACATCGCCTGGAGCTTGTTATGCAGAAAAGACAAGTCCACTCTAAGTTCTATTTCTGTCTTTCATGTTAGTTATGAAATTCATTTGGAATCTTAATTTCACTACTAGGGGATTTTTAAGGGAAATTTCTATTCTCTTAGTTGTTTTTCAGAGCTGTTAGTTGGAAAGGAAGTTACCATGTCCTATTAAAAATGGCAAAGAATAAGTTTCCTTTTTTGATTTCCCTTAAGATCTCTTCCTGGGGGAGGAAATCTAAGCTTTCTGTTTTATGGAGAGGAGAACATAGTTTCAGGGGGGGCAGGAACTAGTCTTTTTACCAGTTGTTCACATAGAGGAGGCATGGGTTCTTGGAGTTCTAATTAGGACCCTTATCTAAAGTTTACTAAAGAAACTTGTCTGTTTTTCAGGGTGTTGATGATGGAGATTGGTGAGGATTTGGATAAATCTGATGTGTCCTCACTAATTTTCCTCACAAAGGATTACACAGGCCGAGGCAAGACAGCCAAGGATAAGGTGAGTTTTCTTTTCTTCGTTCCTATTCTCATGAGCCTATCAGAAGTGAGAGGCTGCTCCTTATTGTATGGCAAGAGGAAAGCAGACAGTTTGCTCCCATGTTAGTGGGAGTCAGACATCTGGGTGTTTTTTTCATGACATTGACACCCAGAGTATTGGTTTCGGAAGTGAGAAAAAATAGGGTGATGCTATCTTCCAGTGTTATCTTGGGTGTTTCTTTCATCCTTAGATTTGATCCTTATTTCTATAGAATTCAAAGACCAGGCTCTCCTGGTTTGAAAGTTAGGAAGTCTCAAATGCTTGTGCTGAGTAGAGAAGTAGGAAGTGGGAATCTACTCTTGTCCTATCTGGTTTTGAAATATAGTTTTTTCACAATCCCTGTGACTAGAAGTAAATGAATAGCAAAATACTAAACCTTCTTGTAATTTCACCTCTCTACAACCCTGAGTCAGAATGAGTTGGAATGTCTATTGATTAACATAGTTTAAGTACTTTAAGACTGAATCACTAGGGTTTTTCACATAAAAACTTTCTCCATCTACCTTCTGTCTCTTTTTTTTTTTCCAGGGAAGATCTTAGGATGTTTAATATAATACCAGCTTGACCTTTTGGGAGAGAATGAACACGAGTTTATTTTCAGTCCTGCTCTTTTTTTTTTTATTTAAAAATTTTTTTGTCAGTACTGGGGTTTGAACTCAGGGCCTCATGCTTGCTAGGCAGGTGCTCTATGACTAGAGTCATGCACCTAGCCCTCGTGGTACTCCTCGATGACACAAAACAGCCCATGTGTCTGTCCCCAACCTAGAAACAAGTTAATAACCAAAGGAATTGACATCACTTCCTTTTTTGAGTCAGATTCAGAAGGATAATTTTTTGAAGACAGAGATATCTGGATTAGGATCACTGAGGGTCACTGAAACAGTTCATCGTTTCACATTTTCTTGCTGTTATAAATCACATGGTCTGGGATTCATATTAGGGGTGCTTATCAGTCAACTCCACTCATATTTGTTTCTTGTTGGTGACTCTCTTAGAGTTTCTTGGATCTGGTGATTGAACTGGAGAAACGGAATCTGATTGCTTCAGATCAATTGAATTTATTAGAAAAATGCCTAAAGAACATTCACAGAATAGACCTGAAGACAAAAATTCAAAAGTACCAGCAGTCTGGTAAGAAGAATTTCTTTTCTTTTTCTTTTTGACAGTACTAGGGTTTGAACTCAGGGCCTCATGCTTGCTAGACAAGCTCTTTAGCGCTTGAGCTATGCCCCCAGCTGAGGTAAGAAGAATTTTGGCCAGTCAGTTTTCTAAAGTATTTACTGTGTCAGGACTCTTGGCATGACTCAACTGGTAAAGTAATTGCCTAGGGAGTGTGAGGTCCTGAGTTCAAACCCCAGAACCACCCCCCAAAAAAACCACAAAAGATTGTAATATATTTGCTCTGTGCACAGTAGGAATGGTTGGTAAAGATTCATTTGTTGGATGGGTGGATGGAATGGAACCTGAATGTCCACAGCCCCCTCTAGCCTATGGCTAGCAATCACACCCCCTTATAACCTTCATATTCCAGATCTGCCAACTCCATCGGTAGATCTCCTGCTCCCCGTATCACCACCTCAGTTTTAGCTTTCTGCAAAGTGCTGCCAACTGGTTCTTAACATTCTAGCCTTTGAGAAAAGGTCTGCGTCCCCATTTTCACAGGCTGGCAAAGCTGTGGACATTCAGGACTTTTAAGTGTATGCTGAATCCTGCTGCCTGGCTTCATTATTTGAGCTGATGATCACCATCATCTCTGGTTGTTGTCACTGGGGTCCCATAGCTGCCCTGAATGGTCCCAAATTTCACCAACTTCCTCGTGGAAAAGGTCACTTTTGATTTTTTTTTCCTTAATAAGGGGACTAGGCTACCACTGGCCTTCTCCCTCACACTACCCATTTTAATGTCTTTTAACCTCTCCCTCAATTTGCATCTGATAGCAGGTCATTACCTAAAGGTCATGGCTGAGATCCACTCTTCTACAGAGCACTCCTCTACTCTCTCATACTCTAAATGACTTATAAACTAGAATTAGAATTTTTTAGTTCATTTGGTAAAAGAATAATCTGATCTAATACTCTGAATTTGAGTAGGTGGCAGGAAAGGTTAGGGTATTTTGAAAGATGGTGATTGACCTTGGACTGAACCATTGTTGAAGATTCACTTGATAATAATTTATAAATTTTAACTCAGTACCTCCCTTCTGCTTTTGTAGTTCAAGGAGCAGAAACAAGTTATATGAATTCTTCCCAAACATCTCTCCCAAGCTTGAGTCTCAAGGATCCTTCAAGGGTGAGTCTGGAGCAAATGTATGGAGTCCCAGCGTGACAGAGTTCAGAGCTTTTTTTTTTTTCAGCATGGGGTTTGAACTCAGGGCTTCGTGCTTAAGCCACACCGTCAGTCCATCTTGTGCTGGTTATTTTGGAAATGGTATCTTGGGAACTGTTTTCCTGGGCTGGCACTGAACTGCAATCCTGCTAATCTCACCCTCCCTACTAGCTAGGGTTATAGGTGTGAGCCACCAGCACTTGGCTAGTTTAGCGCCTTAGTAGCAAAATATATGTTCTCATAACTTTAATCCTTTAAATACTGAATGCTTTAATATCTGAACAAATTGGGATAGAAATGTGTATTTGTTTTAAAAATATGTATAATTTCTTATGAACGTTAAGAAATGTTCATGGATTTATCTGGAGAATACAGAGAAATGCATGAGGAGGAAAATAATCCTGTAATTCAGCTGTCCAAAGGCAACCTTTCTTTTAATATTTTGAGATATTTCCCTCTAGTCTCTTTTCTATGGGTGTTAAAATGTATTTCTATATGGATAGTTGCACATGTTTTTTCATTGTTCATTCATTTGTTTCTTTGAAGATTCAGCTTTTTAAATAAACATGGATAAGATGTGCCTATTGAAAAAATATTTTTAAATGTAGTAAAAGAGGTTCTAAAAGTGCTTTTTTCCTACCTCACAATACTTTTGAGTTCATTTTTCATGAGGCAGCTGTTGTTAACCAATTTCTTCTGTAACCATTCAGAGACAGTCTACATATATATAATCCATTTTTCTTTTGTATAAATGGTAGCATACCAGGTTGAAAATTCTTGGAAATTGTTCTGTATGATTCATGTGGGCCTACCTCTCATCATTACTTTGACTGATTTCCATTTTCTGCATGTATCATAATGTATTTAGCTCTTTCTTGTTGATGTGTATCTATTACTATTGCTTCTGATCTTTTGTAATTACAAACAGTGCAAAATAAATACCTCATACTTATCTCTCTGTGCATTTGCTTTTTACTGAGCTTGATTTAATAATTTTAGCAAAAATTTTTGTTATTAAGTGATGAAACAAATTATTTTTTTCTAGTTCACGAACATAAATGTCACATAGTCACCTATGGTTGTTACATTGGTAGTATGTAGTACAAAGTATCAACAGAATTGTTTCTTAGTTAATCTTTTATCTTGAGAAGAAGAATCTTGGTGAACTCTTGTTCTTATCCTCATCTAAAGTCATGTGGAATTTGTAGTGAGGACTTACACTAGACAATTTTGTGGCTAAATTATAAACCCTTTCATAAAAGCATGTGATGAAAGCACTAACTACTCCTATTACATGAATAGTTTCTTGGAGAATATGAGCTGTAAGAGATAACCACTGAGAAACAGAATTTCAGAGCTAAAGTAGATGTTGAGGATTGTACTCTCCTACCCACTCACTGCACAAAATAAGGAAAGTTAGACCTAAAGGATACTAAATTGTTGTTCACCTCCACCTACTGTCGGTCTGCCCAGTCCCTGCTCCTCCTACTATGCAGTGCTGTATCTAATAAACTGCAGTCATGACTTAATGGATAGTGTACTCTCTTTGGCTTAGATTGTTTCAGAGGTGAGGTGCCATTTGAAATATGTATATATTGGTTAACAGTATATAGTATGTGTATAAACAGTGTATAAAATGGTTAACAGTAAATGGTATGTGTACCTTTCACAGGCCATCTGAGAAGAGAAAGGACCAGTTCAGTTTTTCATTCTCTGATTAATCCTACTCTAACCTTCAGAAGAGGTTTATCAGAATTCTTTATTACCCAGAATCAGGCCCATACGTGGCTTATATGTAGCTAAGCAATTCTAGAAAAGCAATAATTAGGTATTTATTAAGTACTTCCATGCATTTGGCATGGAGCTGAGTACTCGCATACATTTCATCCTCATAAAACCCTCTGAGGTAGGCACTGTTACTATGTTCATTCTGCAGATGAGGAAACAGAGATTAAATAACTTGCTCAGCTAGTAAGTGGCAGAATCAGGACTCACAACCAGGTATGTCTTGCACTCTTAGCCATGCTGTACTTTGCCCTTATGTTCAAAGGATAGGTTGAATGTCAATTTCACGTTCCAATAGCTTACTCTAACTTGGAGTTATCACAGCAAATATGCTGTACTATAACATCTGGTTTTATTGAGCTGTTTTTAAACATTTTCATATGCTAAGCTTAGCATATTTATGCTTTCATCCTATTTACATTTTGTAAAAGGAAAGTTTTCCTTGTTCTTTGACAAGGTAATATGGGATTTATAGAGTTAATAGTTCTTGCTATTCTTTTCTGGATAACTGTGAATGTGATATTTAAATTTTTTCCCTGGGTAAGAATCCTACTCAGATATTTAAAGAGGTGTAATGTCATGTGCTCCTGAAAAAAAAAAAAACCCTAAAGGGTATGATCTTATTCCTTATATTTGAAGCTCCAGAATGGGAAAAGTAAAGAACGAAGACTTGTGGAACACCCTAACATTCAAAGTAAGACCAACTTTTCTTTATATTCATTCTTTATAAATGCTTGATAATTTAAGTAAAAAATGTTGCAGAGGCTGGTGTATAGCTCAGTGGTAGAGTGCTTGCCTAGTATGTGTGAGATTTTGGGTTTGATCCCCAGCCCACTGGCTGCAGTGGTCCACACTTGCAGACCAGGCTTCTTTTGGGAGGCTGAGGTGGGACTATCACTTGAGCCTAGGAGTTGAAACCATCCTGGCCAACAAAGTGTGACTGCATTGTCAAAAAAATGAAAGTTGCCATTTATCTCCATATTCTAACTAAGCTCTTAAAAAGCATTTAAACTCTTAAAATGTATTCATTGGATTTCTAGTTACCTGTTGAGCTAGCTAACTTAAATTTGAATACCACAGGTACATAATCTTTGCCATATTTTTAAGAGATGTGACTTGTATATAGATGTCTGAAATGCATATATTTAATGTATTTATATTATATATATATAAATATACATGAGATAAAACTATAACCAAGTCATGTTAAACATTAATCCAGTCATGATAATAAACCAAACTAAACCAAATATCCAGCAGCAGGAAGAAGAAAGATTAATAGGCTTTTGTTTTATAGTCCATTTAATGTGTCTGGATACTCTGCAGAATATATCCTCCCTCTCCTAAAAAGAAAGAAAACATGTGATTAAAAATTGGCTGTTTCAACCCACATGGTCTCTCTCTTCTCTTTAAAAACATCAGCACTTGATCCTATAACATCATTTTTAAAAGGTTTATTTCTTTGCTGTCTTGAGACCTCCCTGAAGTGAGGACTGAGACTCAGCCTTACAGTGAGGAGGTAGATGGTTGTGTTTCAAGACACCAGGGAGCAAGGATTGATAGCTGCTGTGGAAGATTGCAGGCTTATCCGAGGATCATAGAATTTATCCTGTGTGTGGTAGGGGACCATTTTGAGTGGGCAGTGGCCTGATGGAAGCCTTGTTTGTGTGGCAGGCCAGTATCTTATGACTCAGCCTGTGTGTGTGTGTGTGCCTGGAAAATGAGAAGCATTTGCCTAGAGTAGGCAGATGGAGCTGCTCACGCCTGTCATTCTCTACCTAATATCCTGCTCTCCAGCAAAAGCTGTTGAGAATCAAATTTATTCCTGAATTGACAGCATGTTTCTTAAAACAGTGGTAAGAATTAGAATTCTGAAAACTGTTTAAAGAGAAAATAGGAGCCTGGGTAGAAATGCCTGGGAATTAAAATCAAATGGGGTCCTTTTCATTGGCTTCCTGATCCAAATTAAGCATAATTCTAGGTGAGATAAGTAACACACCTGGTGATCCTGTTAGGAGAGCCACCTCCTTGCTTTTGCCTGGACTTGGCTTACTCACTTAATAAAAGAAGAAGCATTCTGATAAATTGACCTTAATTTAATAGAAGTTTAAAATAATCAAACGAAATGTTCATATTACTTTGGACTTCCAACTAGATTTCAGTTGAAAGATTATGATGATGGTGATAACTACAATTTGGTAAGCTTTTGCTAAATGCTTTACACTGGGCTAGGCATATCAAATAGGTTATTTTGTGGGGTTTTTTGTTCTTTTTCTTTTTTGGTGGTACTGGGATTTGAGCTCAGGGCATTGTGTTTGCTAGGCAGGTGCCTTAGTTACTTTTCATATAGGGTATTGCTTTATGTCAGGGCCAGCCTGAATCATGATCCTCCTATTTATGCATCCTGCATAGCTGTGATGACAAGCCTCTGCCACCGTGTCCAGCTTTCATTGGTTGAGATGGGGGTCTCACTAATATTTTCCCCAGGCTGGCTTCCTGATTTTACTGATCTCTACCTCCCAAGTAGCAATTGTTTGTTCTGTTAAAACAATGATTGCTGAAATATAAAAAGGAAAAGTGATATTTCCTCTTACTTTTAAATATCAGAGATAGTCACTGCTAATGTTTGACTTATCTACCTCTTGACTCTTATGTTTAGCTCGTACAGTTGTCCCTAAGTATCTGTCGGGGATTGGTTTCAGACTCCCCGTGGATATCAAAATCTGCAAATGCTCAAGTCCCTGATACAAAATGGTGTAATATTGTATATAACCTGTTCACATCCTTTCCTATTGTGTAAATCACCTCTAGATTACGTATAACACCTAATGCAATGTAAATGCTATGTACATAGTTGTTATGCTTTATTGTTTAGGGAACAAGGTCAAGAAAAAAACGTTTGTTCATGTTTTAGTACAGATGTAATTTTTGGTCCTTTGTTGGTTGAATCTACAGATGCAGAACCTATGGATTTCGAATGCCATTTTTATATGTATGAAAATGTGCATTTAATATTTTTAATATGTAAAGTCAATATTATGCATATTATTTAATAATCCATTTTTATTTACTATACCCTGCATATCCTTTTTGTCAAATACATAAAGATCTCTCTTTTCCTTTCTAACATCACATAGTATTCCATTATATGTATCATAGTGTTGATGGACTTTTAGGTCTTTCTAGTCTGGGCCATTAAAAACAGTCATTTGGCAGACATTTTTGACATACAGTTTTGCACTCTTGCTCTGTTACTTCCTTAAAATTTCTAGAAGCAGAATGTTGGCTTAAAGAATATTGACAATTGCCTTTTTTTATTATTATTATTCATATGTGCATACAATGCTTGGGTCATTTCTCCCCTCTGCCCCCACCCCCTCCCTTACCACCCACCCTGCTCCCTCCCTCTCCCCCCCACCCCCTCGATACCCAGCAGAATCTATTTTGCCCTTATCTCTAATTTTGTTGAAGAGAGAGTATAAGCAATAATAGGAAGGAAAAAGGGTTTTTGCTAGTTGAATAAGGATAGCTATTCAGGGAGTTGACTCAACATTAATTTCCTGTGTGTGTGTGTTACCTTCTAGGTTAATTCTTCTTGATCTCACCTTTTCTCTAGTTCCTGGTCCCCTTCTCCTATTGGCCTCAGTTGCTTTTAAGGTATCTGCTTTAGTTTCTCTGCGTTGAGGGCAACAAATGCTAACTAATTTTTTAGGTGTCTTACCTATCCTCACCCCTCCCTTGTGTGCTCTTCACTTTTATCTTGTGATCAAAGTTCAATCCCCTTGTTGTGTTTGCCCTTGATCTAATGTCCGCATATGAGGGAGAACATACAATTTTTGGTCTTTTGGGCCAGGCTAACCTCACTCAGAATGATGTTCTCCAATTCCATCCATTTACCAGCGAATGATAACATTTTGTTCTTCTTCATGGCTGCATAAAATTCCATTGTGTATAGATAGCACATTTCCTTGATCCATTCGTCAGTAGTGGGGCATCTTGGCTGTTTCCATAACTTGGCTATTGTGAATAGTCCTGCAATAAACATGGGTATGCAGGTGCCTCTGGAGTAACCTTTGTCACAGTCTTTTGGGTATATCCCCAAGAGTGGTATTGCTGGATCATATGGTAGATCAATGTCTAGCTTTTTAAGTAGCCTCCAAATTTTTTTCTAGAGTGGTTGTACTAGTTTACATTCCCACCAACAGTGTAAGAGGGTTCCTTTTTTCCCCGCATCCTCGCCAACACCTATTGTTAGTGGTGTTGCTGATGATGGCTATTCTAACAGGGGTGAGGTGGAATCTTAGTGTGGTTTTAATTTGCATCTCCTTTATTGCTAGAGATGGTGAGCATTTTTTCATGTGTTTTTTTGGCTATTTGAATTTCTTCTTTTGAGAAAGTTCTATTTAGTTCACTTGCCCATTTCTTTATTGGTTCATTAGTTTTGGGAGAATTTAGTTTTTTAAGTTCCCTATATATTCTGGTTATCAGTCCTTTGTCTGATGTGTAGCTGGCAAATATTTTCTCCTACTCTGTGGGTGTTCTCTTCAGTTTAGAGACCATTTCTTTTGTTGAGCAGAAGCTTTTTAGTTTTATGAAGTCCCATTTATCTATGCTATCTCTTAGTTGCTGTGCTGCTGGGGTTTCGTTGAGAAAGTTCTTACCTATACCTACTAATTCCAGAGTATTTCCTACTCTTTCCTGTATCAACTTTAGAGTTTGTGGTCTGATATTAAGATCCTTGATCCATTTTGAGTTAATATTGGTATAGGGTGATATGCATGGATCTAGTTTCAGTTTTTTGCAGACTGCTAACCAGTTTTCCCAGCAGTTTTTGTTGAAGAGGCTGCTATTTCTCCATCATATTTTTAGCTCCTTTGTCAAAGACAAGTTGGTTATAGTTGTGTGGCTTCATATCTGGGTCCTCCATTCTGTTCCACTGGTTTTCATGTCTGTTTTTGTGCCAGTACCATGCTGTTTTTATTGTTATTGCTTTGTAATATAGTTTGAAGTCAGGTATCGTGATACCTCCAGCATTGTCTTTTGACTGAGTATTGCCTTGGCTATTCGTGGCCTCTTGTGTTTCCATATAAATTTCACGGTAGATTTTTCAATCTCTTTAATGAATGTCATTGGGATTTTGATGGGAATTGCATTAAACATGTAGATTACTTTGGGAGTATAGACATTTTTACTATGTTGATTCTACCAATCCATGAGCATGGGAGATCTCTCCACTTTCTATAGTCTTCCTCAATCTCTTTCTTCAGAAGTGTATAGTTTTCCTTGTAGAGGTCTTTCACATCCTTTGTTAGGTTTACACCTAGGTATTTGATTTTTTTTGAGGCTAGACAATTGCCTTTTTAAAAGACTGGTTCATCTAGCCAGACATCAGTGGATTACACCTGTAATCTTAGCTACTTGGGAGGCTGATATCAGGAGGATTGTGGTTTGAGGCCAGCCTAGGGAAATAGTTCATGAGATTCCCCATCTCCAAAAATAACCAGAACAAAATAGACTGGAGGTGTGGCTCAAGAAGTAGAGCAACTGTTTTGCAAGCATGAAGCCCTGAGTTCAAACCCAAGTCTCCCCCCAAATAATTAATTAAGATTAGTTCAATCTGTACAGTATTAGTATTTGAAAGTGCTCATTTCTTCCAAACTTTACTGATACTGCAATTTGTCTCTAGATATTATTTCTTATTTTGTAGCAGTTTTGTAAGGTAGATAAAAGTATTTTAGCTCAGAGATTAATAAGCCTATGAGACCCAATGAAGTTGTTTGCCTAAGATCACAGTGAGTGATACTGCTAATCCCTTTATGGCTTCAAAATGGGTGGTTCCTCTACATATTAATAAAGTCATGTTAATCTAGCAAACATATGCTATAGGCCTATCAACATTTGCCAGGCTCACTGTCCCTTATCTTGCTATTGCCATTTTATTTTCTCATCTCCCAGCACCACTGGTCTGTGAAAAGCTTGGTCATCTATTCTATCCATAACAAACACACCTAAGCTTTCCTTTTCTGCACTTTAAGTCTGTTCCTTCAGGTATTGTCCACAGGTTTAGCATGTGTAGGAAAGCCACCTGTGTAAGAAAGCCAGCTACCTGGCCTCCATCTGGAGAAGGGTAAAGGGTAGCCTTCTTTCACTTGTATTTGAGCAGTTTTCCTACATATCGCTCACATAGCATGGGCACTTAAGCTTTCTTGTTAGTCAGGTTCTTTAGTGTGAGGTTGGAACTTTCAGGCTGAGTACAGCAGGAGAAAGAAGAGGTAGCTGAAGAAAATAGGCAATGAGAACAGTGTGTGATGTAAAGAAACTCAGCCAGGATGGGGGTGGACTTAGTTCTACTTCCACTTTGTAAATGATTTCTCTCATCCCCCAGGAAAACCAGTGAAGACATCCATTCAGGAATCAGGAGCTTTTTTGCCCAAGGTAAAATAAATGATCTGATTTGGTATTTTATTATATGCACAGTATTTTCAAGAACACTGACTTCTTAAAAACAAAACAAAAAAAAACCTGTTCATTAAGAATTTTTGTAATAGTGGGATGCCTTGAGTGTTGTTCTCCTGAGACCAGAGAACCATGAATGTAGCAAAGAGAAAAATGTTAAAGTGGATTGCATTAATGAACTTTGGAGAGCAGGGAAATTCCAAAGTGGCAAGTCTTCAACTAATGATTTTTGAGCATATAAGTAGACAGTGACACTACACTGAACCTTGGATCGATACCTCTTCTCCTTAAAAAGAGGCAATAGAAGGCCTCCATTTGTACATAGTTTGTAAAGATATCACTTGTTTCTACTTTAGGTTACTATGGTAACATATGATCCATCTTTTCAAAACTATCTTTATTTTGCAAAGTTGAGACACATGTAAAGAGACTATAATTTTCGTTAAAATCAGGCAAAAATGGAAATATCTCATTTGTTGTAAGCATGTGAGCTTAATTGGGGAAAAATTTGATATTCATGAGAAATGTCAGTTTAAGTCTTTTTTTTTTTTTTGGTGGGACTAGGGTTTGAACTCAGGGCTTCACACTTACAAAGCAGGTGCTCTACAGCTTAAGCCACACCTCCAGTCCTGAAATGTCAGTTTAAGGAAATCCAAAAGAAGAGATAGTGCATGAGTGGGAAGTTATGGGAAAAGAACAGTGTTCAGAGTCTAACAATCCCTGCCTTTCTTTCCAGCACATACCTCAAGAGAGATACAGAATGCAGAGCAAGCCCCTAGGAATCTGTTTGATAATTGATTGCATTGGCAATGATGCAGGTAGGTGTGGAGGCTGCAGATTAATGTCCCACAGTGGGATCACGAAACAGACTAGTTGAATTAATCAGGGTGATCAACACTAGCTGATGTAACAAAGTACATTAGACTGTGACATTCATTTCTCACCCAAGTCATAGTCTAGCATGGATTGGACTGGGGAAGCTTTGGCTCCATCATCTTCTGAGGCCCTGAAGTCTTCTTCAGGGTCCTCTGTGTCTGGTGGGTGGATGAGGGAAGACAGAATGGGTGGAGGATCTCATAGAGGATTTTAGAGAAAGTGATAATCAGGCACCATTTCCACCTGCACTCTATTGGTCAGAATTCAATCATGGTTCCTGCAGTGGACAGGGATAAATTAGTCCAGCCATATGTCAGAAGGAAATGAAATGAACTTGGGGAACATGTAGCATTGTGTCTGGCACAAAGTGTAAGTGTGAAAGTTGGTGTGTGTTAGCCGTGTCTATCCATATTGGATGCTGTGGCAAGGAGCAGTTCTAGGATTCAAGGAACATTTATAAATGAAGACATTCTGGTTCCAATATTATCAGATTGCATTAGTTTACCTAGAGATGAAAGCTTCCTCAGGGACATTAAAAGTATGATAAATTTGTATTCACTTAGAGGGCTTTGGATATTGCCTGAGCTCTGTGTCACTTAAATTTGTTGTCATTTACTTAGTTGTGATCCACTCGTGTGTCACCGTTGTTTGGCTCGGAATTGATTCTTTGCTCAGTTGTTGTAGGATGTCTGACTCAAACTGAATCACTGGTGATGCATCAAAAGAGAGTGAGAAGAGACTAGATAAGTAGAATATTGTTCCATTTAATTATCTTTTCCTTGAGCGGATTGATTATAGCTCCAGTTTTCCTGCTTGTAAACTTCCTTGTAGCATGAGTCAGAACAGTCTTTTAGGCTCACTTAAAATGTTATCATGGGGACTTTTATGAAAAGAGATTCTAAAAGAAGGTCAAATTAGCAAATACAAAAGTGAATTTCCCAGTATTTCAGATATGATTCTGCCTTCTCATTTCCTATTTTTGGTTAGATGTGAAAAAGGCTGTCTCCTCAACTATAGATAAGTGTCCTTTCCTTCTTAGCTATTAGTGCCCATGTAAGAACAAAGAAGTATCTTCTCAGGATTCATTTCCTGTTTTAAAAGAGGTTGTGTAATTGCCCTGCTGGACTAGAGTGGGTCTTGGCCTGCCCTCCCCCGAGAATCAGGGCTCTTTTGACTCAAGCCCTCTCTGCTTCTGGAAATAAAACAAATAATTGGACTGGAGTCCACTTATAAAACCTTCCAGGCTCAGGTAGCTAATCAACGCTTAAGAAAAAATACTTGTACTCAAATTGCATTGAGCTTTTCATCTGCTGAGATGAGCCGTATCCACTTATCTACCTAGCTGAAACTAGGCCGGTATTAATTATTAGGAAGTAGAAAGACAGAGTCTCAGCTTTGCACATGCTCTCTCTAGGTCTCCAGCTCTTCACTTTCCTTCGCCCCTCCTGGGGATTCTTCACTGAGGACTCTAGACTGGAATCCTGCTTTGGTGGAAAGTGGTCATTATTAAGCACAGAACTCTTCATTTCTTCTTTTCCATCTTGTTAGCAGTCGAGGGGCTTCACCTATAGTAATTACAGCAATTTCCTCTGTCTAGTTAACTCTGACAATTTGCCAATTTGGGAAAAGTGCAAGAGTCAGACATCAATAATATACAAAATAATTGCCAACTGAAATAAGAGCTCTGAAAGAAACTAGCCATGATATGATAAGTCTAATGTGGGGTGGTAGAGACCAAGAATATAGAATTTTTTAAAAATCCCTCCATGCCAGGTACTTTACTGATTCTCACTTAATCCTCATAAATAAAAGTGTAAGATGGGTACAATTATTTCCATTTTCAAGATGAGCAACAGAAACTACCTTCCTAGCTTCTCTAGTACTGATAGAAGTGGGATTCGAAGGCTTGTCTCCAAAGATAATGCTTTTAGCCACTTTGCTTTAATGTAAATCCCACAAGGGTGGTTGGAGGCATTTATCCATTTCTTCACTGTGTGTCTCCAGTACCTGGAAGAGTGCCTGGCAAATAGGCTCTAAGTGAATATTTGTTGAGCAAATGAATAAGGAATAAGTTTTCCCAGTACCAGTGTGTTTTTAAAACTATTCCTTTGTGTCTTTGGAGTTTAGAAGACTCTCTTTTTCCTTTTATCCTCAAAAAAATGAGACTTTTATCTGAGTAAACAAGTCCCCTAAATATTACAGGTTTATTCTTTCTTGTGTGCAGTAAACATTTATTGAGCACCTATTACATACCGAGCACCATACTTGGTCCTGTGTAAAGACATATTGAGGCAGTGAAGTGGAGTCTGGTCTCAGGACCATATCGTGAACAAAGGCAAGGTCATTCTTTGATGACTTATTCTCGAGAAGAATACTTACGGAAATCAATAACATCTTCTTGAGGTAGACATCAAGCTTGGGGATTTGGATTGTTGTCAGTTTAGTAGAATTAAAGAGTAAGTCCTTGGTGTCCTGTTATCCTTGTCAGCAACCTCAAAGCTTGGCTGTCCTGGGCCCTGACTGGCCATCCTGGTGCTAGACCTTTTGATCTTGTGAGGGCCGTAGAAGCAAGTGTCTCACATCACTGACAGGTGGAGTTTGGGGCTTGGACTAAGGTTCTGACTGTATTTTGGCTCCTGAATAAGATGGTTTTTGCAGATTTTAAGGGAAACATTTTTTTTTTGTACTTTTTCATTGGTAATACATAGATTTCCTAGAAGACACTGCAATTTCCTGTGTAATCTTGTATAAAAAAGCTTCCTTTTCTAACAGGACAACAGAAGTCACGGAAGCCAGTAGAGTGGAGATGCTTTGACCTTGGCTACTCTTTGGCTTCCTTTCCTGATTTTTCTTTTAATGGAATGGGCAGAAACCTGAGTGAGTAGCATTCTCCTGTAATAACATTTGTAGGAAATTTTCCACTAGGGGGATCAGAGCAGCCACTGTGGTCTCTGCTTATGAATTATAAAGACCAGTGGCAAGTGACACCCAAAATGGTAGGTGAATGCTCTGACCAACTTGAGGGCAATGGGAGTGGAGCTTCACCTCCTTGTTCTCATGGCATTAGCACGTTATTAAGGATGATTTCCTCTTGGGAGCAGAGTACCAGGAATCTGTGAGGCACTCTCCCCATCCCCTTCTGGGTATTTGAATAAGCAATTTTTCACTTGAAAGCCTCGCATCATTGATGGAATTTCGAATCACTCAGAGGTTGTGCCACTTCACTTAGCAAGCTCATACTTCACAGCGGGCATAAATCTAGGGTTTGTATAAGAGTTATAGGTCCACTGTCCTTTGTTGGAGGCCCTTGTATTTCAGAATTTAGAAGGTTTTTTTTGTGTGTGTGTGTGTGTGTGTGTGTGTGTGAGAATGAGAGAGAGAGAGAGACTGGGGTTTGAACTCAGGACTTTGCACTTGCAAAGTAGGTGCTCTACCACTTGAGTCTGATAGAAGTGCCATTCCCAAATAGTGATCAAAGAAACACTCGGGAACAGCTCAACAAGACAAAAAGAAAAGTTTTACTTCTGCAGGAGGGCACAGCCACAGACCATAGTCTAATGGGAGGAATACACATGGGTGGGAAGTCCACCCACGTTATATGCCTGAGGAGACCTCCTCTGTCCCTCATGATGACTGGTTCACACTTGGTCTCACAGCACTCCATGGCTAGCTATCTTTTGGGATAAGAGCAAGGTTTTCTGACACAGTGACATTTTACAGTTCAATGAGAGAGGGATTACTAATGGTTTATAGCTCTGTGAGAGAATGATTTCTCAAGGACCCGTGCAGATAGGGGACTGGCTGACATTTTGCCTAATGTAGTTAGTGGAGGAGTTGATGTACTCAAAGGAATGATACTTTAGATGGTAAGCAACCAGTCTGAGATTAGCACATCTGGTGATAAACAGCTCTTTGTTTGATTGCAAGAACCTTGTAGGGTCAAGCAGCCATTTTACAAAGCACGTAGGCCAAAATTCGGGGGGTTAGCTGGCATTTACACAATGACAGTTAGACATTAACTCCTTTGACGGAAAAGACCTGACTTTAGTTGATTCTCATAAGTCACGCCTCCAGTCCATTTTTGCTCTGGTTAATTTTTGAAGATGAGTTCCCTAGCCTGAAACCTCTATCCTCCTGATCTCAGCGTCCCAAGTAGCTAGGATTACAGGTTTTAGCCACTAGCGCTCTATGAAGCAATTAGATGTTTTTAGAGTTTAGAAAGATGACATTGGGTTGGTGAAGTGGTTCAAGTGGTAAAACAACTGCCTGGCAAGTACAAACCCCAGTACTGCTAAAACAAAACAAAAAATGATACTATATACTATAATATATAAAACACTCCAGTGGGATTCAGGTGGCACCCCATAATCAACTGCGTTAATATTTCAGGAGCAAAATGAATGGCTAGTCACACTAAGTGGGATAGACTTCATCATTTCAGGAGGGGTTTGCCACAAAATGAGGTGGGGAAAAGTACTTAAGGTTTTCCAAGCTGCTGAGGTTCTGGAATTGTGGATGAGGGGTTGTTAATATGCAAGAACAAAGTGCATTTAGGCTGTCTGGGGTAACCCAGAAACCTCTCAACATGCAATTGACATTTTATCACTGATACTATATTCTCCAAGTACAAGTTAGTCTGGAAGGACTTCCCAGTAATCATGTGTGCTTTATAAATAAGATGTTTAAAAAGTAATTTTGCGTGCTGTGCATTGTGCAATAAAGCCTTGGTTGGTCTAACTGAACCACTGCAAAGTTGGATATATGCCAGGAAGTCCTGCTTAGGTCCTGCCCTTACCCCCTTACTATTTTTTTGTCTGTGTCTTTGTTCACCATCATCCTCCCCCTGGGAGACCTTTTCTTAAGGTTTTCCAGGCCCCAGCTTAAATGATACCTTTTCTGCAACGCCTGCTGTTGATTCGTGTATATTTATAACTTACTTCAACAAGATTGTAAGCCCCTTGAAGGACAGAAACTATATTATGTGTTTGATCTGTGTCCCTTGTCCAAGTGTTTTTTGTAAGATAGTAAGGGGAACTTAGTAAAACATGCATTTGGGGGTCAAGTAAACGTGAGAAATGCTACACAGTTTGTTACCCTCTCAGATTCACAATGCATATCCACCTAGTAATGGCTCTGAGAAATCTTCCTATAAAGAAACCTACTTTAGCCTTGTCAGCCTTGCCTTTCCCATATGAGGCATACAGAACTCCCTTTTCCACTCAGAATATCCTGCCCATCTTGTGTTTCACTGATGTATTTTATATTAATTAGTACCTGGCTTATTAACGGTAATCAAGAAACAATTGTGAATAGACTGGTGAAGCATTCCATCTTATTTATTCTATTTACTTAATGGCCCCTTTTCATAGGAAGTGTCAAGATAAGCATGCACTCATTTAGATAAAAATGAATTCTAGATTAATGAGGTTATGATATTTTATTCCATTTAGCTTTTTGGGTTTCAGGTCGATAGTCTCTAAACCTGATACTATCAGTGACCTTGACCTTTCCACTAGCAGCCCTGTACTAATTGCAGGACCTGAAGAAAGTCATTTCTGGAAGTATTTCCTAAGGAGTAATTGTAATTCACAGAGCTAGGGCTGGGAGGGAAGTGGAGTTTCCAGGGTGAATAGAAGAAGTACAACTTCTGCATTTTGTTGAAGTTCTGTTTTCCAAATCCGGCCCTTAAGTATTTCTTCCCCTATTTGTGGGTGAAGACACAGCAGTAAATGATACACAGGACATGCAGTCTGTCTGCCCTGAGCCCATTTCAGTTTAGAATATGCAGACCTCCCTCCAGATCTTCAGAGGTATCTTCCATGGAGAAATGCACTGCAGGCTCCCTAATTTATAAGTTTGAAGTGGTTGCCTTTGTCTTCATTAAAATTAATTCTTTATAACTGAGTAAATACTTACAATTTGTAAGTATCTATTTTTTTTTCCTTTACAGTGCTGGGGATTGAATTCAGGGCCTCAAGCACACTAGGCAAGTGCTCTACCACTTGAGCTGCTCCTCTGGCCCTCTCTCACCTGCTTTTCTTTCTTTTTTTTTTTTTTTTTTTTTTTTTGAGACAGGGTCTTTCTACTCTTTTTGCTTGGGTTGGCCTTAACTTGAGATTCTCCTATTTCTGCCTCGTGAGTCACTTGGGTCCTTAGCCACTATGCCTGGCTTTGTAAGAAATCTCATTGGATCGTCACAGATACCTTTTGAAAATCATGGTTTAGGTATTAATATTAATCACATTTTACAGGTGAATAAACAGAGACTGTAACTTACTCAAAGTCACACTGTCACCATCCCTTGATCCTATAAATTAGACTGGACTGTACGTATGTTCTTGCTGGTCCAAGAAGGAAAGTAGAAAATGCCATTTGGCATCCTTGCCCACCCCACATCACCATCTAATAGAGGAAAATGTGGCATTAATAGGAAATGTCAGCTGTAGTGACTTCAGGCTGTGTCTGTTGAGTAACTTCATTTTCCAGAAGGATGTTGAAGGGCTACTCTGTCCTGTTCCAAGGCCCACCTGGATTTAGTGTTCTTCTTGTCCTTATTTGTGGTGTTTGGGACCTGCATGGGTTTTTGGCTTCAACTCTGCCTAGCTTTTCCCCTCTGTTCTATAATATACTCCCTCCATCACATCACAGATTCTCGTCCCTTTCTTTGCCCCTCTGCTAGTGTAGGTCAGCCTTCTGCTAAGACCTGGCAAGGGTGAGACCTTTAAGGAGTAGAAGTGGAGGATCTGGGACTTAAATTTGGATCTCTGTGGGGCTGCTTTCTCTTTTTCCCTATACCACGCAGTTGCCAGCACAGTGCTGCATAGTGAGCCCAGACATAGAAGGGAGCCAGAAGGCATTTCTCTCTCCCATCCCTGCCTGTCAGCCTGGGAGAGAGACCCTGGTGAGCTTTCCATCAAGGACTTTGAGAAGGAAGGGAATTTATCAGTGAAGAGAGAGGGTTTTGTAGGAAGTAAACCAGTCAGAGAAAACAAGTAAACAAGAGAACTTTGAATCTTGTGTTTCTCTGTTTGCTTCTGCCCCCCAGAGACAGAAGACTCCATGACAGGGACATGTGAGTCCTGAAAGGAAGTGTTTGAAATGAAGTAGTTGTCCTAATCCAGGTTCTTTTATTGTCCTGTCCTATGTCCAACCTGGGAGTGGTTCTAGGCACCGAAGCCTTGCTTATACTGTGAGAGATGGCTGGGGTTAGTGTGGCTAGGCCATTTTTACCATACAGAATTTAGAAGTTATCAGCAACCTACAAATCATGTCCCCCATTTCCTTAATAATGATGCTTATTGATTATAGGCTAAAAGATATCAGCACCTTGTTTGTGTCTCTTCATTCTCAGAGGATATAATTATTCATTTTTTTCACACTTAATTGTGGGCCAAAGGAGAAATGTGATGTAGATACAGTTTTAAGTAGTGATGATTATCATTCTCTTTTACTGACAGGAGAGGTCAAAGAACTTGCCTAATGAATTATTATCTAACAATGTATACAAATCACTCCAAAATTGAGTTGCATAAAACAACAATATCAATCTGATTATATCTCTCATAGTTTCTGTGGATCAGGAATTTAGGAACAGCTTAGCTGGGCTGTTCCAGCTCAGAGTTTCTGATGAGTTTGTGGTCACATGTCTACTGGAGCTAATCAAAGGCTTGGTTGAGATCCGAGGATCCACTTTAGGTGATATATTCACTGTCGGGGAAGCTGGTGCTGGTTGTTGGTGATAGGCCTCTGTTCTTCTGCATGTGGTCCTCTCCAAGACCTGCATCAACATTCTCATGATATGGTACCCAGTTCCCCCAGAGTGAGCCATCCCAAAGCGAAGAGCCAGGTGGAAGCTCTGTCCTTACATAGTATCACTTCTGCCTCAAAAGTCATTAGAAATGACTTAGCAAATGTGGTCCTCATTCAATGGAAAGGACTCTTTTTGTAGAAGAAGAGTGTTTGAGGATTTGTAAAGATATTTAAAAACCAGCATATCTGGTAGAATATAGGGTCACAATTAAACCCAGGTCAGAAAGTTCAGTAGACCCTGTGTGAATATGGATAGGTACTACTCATAGGCTGAATGAATTAAATTCCAAATGCTCAAGCCAACTCTCACTTGTCTGGTGGCTACTCTATCTTTTTGTTTACCCAAAAGCTGTGTTCCTTTTTTTACCTGCTAAGAATCTCGAAAAGAAATTGAGATTCCTCACTCTTGCTTTTATAGTTTACTAGTGGATAGTCAAGTTTTCTGGGCAAGAAAGTTAAAACTATTCATTGAAACTGTAAATATGATTATTTGTGACCATCTGTACTTGTTCCCAGTTAGTCTGGAGCATTGAACTTGTAGTCAGTAGTCATGTGGTGCCGTCCATTGTTTTTCTCCCCTTGATGTCTTTCTGTGATGTCTAAACTTCTATGGGAGGAGGGTAGCTTTTTCCCAGTGGAAGTTATATTGCTATAATATTACTGTGTTCTTTGGTTTGGAGTGAATGAAGGGGTAGACTTCTGGAAGACTACACCCTAGGAGAGAAAGAGAGATTGGCCCCTAGCGATGAGATATGGAAATAAATCTAGAGAAGTAGGCTAATGGTGTGACTGGCAATCCGAATTAGGAGAAATTTTTTGAATCTCTGGGCTTAAGACAGAGTGGTTTTCCATCCAGCTGATGAACTAGGAACTAAAGGCATCCCTTATATAAGGTACAGAAATATAATGAGTGGCTCAAAAAGACATGAGATTTTTGAATGGGAAAGTGAAAAGAAGTTTGCATTTTCTATCTGAAAAGATATAAATGGATTTAGGAGGCTGTGTTTATTCCTGTTCTAAGGACAGACTGAGCAGATGAGAAAGAAATGTACTTGATAGGATTTCTAGGACCACAGAAACTTCTAGAAAGGCAACAAAAAAGCTTTTAAACAAGGAAATGGAAACTAATATTTATTGACCACCAAGAGCTTTATTTGTATTACTTATTCCTCACAGAAGTCTGGTCAGGTGGCAGTCATAGCTTCCATATTTCTTAAGATATGTAGCCTAAGGTGGGGATAAAGTCAAGAAGCTAGGCTTGTCTGACTTAAAGCCTGCCCTTTCCATTACCTTACACTACCTGTCAAGGCAAAGTCAATCCAGGATTCCTAAAGAATCTTGGCCAAGGCTTATGCTGGAGGTCAGTTACACTGGGAAGCGGATCATGAGTGAAACTAAGAAGTCTGGAAATGGTCACAACTTAGATTTAGAGGCCTCTGTGTCAGTCCACAGCAGGGGGAGGGAACTCATGACTTTTGCTGCTATTTCTGCAGCCACTGAATCTAGGCTTGGATTTGTACTCTGTAAATACTTCTATTCCTGTGTATTTGAGTGTCCTGTTGTTTTAAGAAAGAACCTTTTGAAAATGATTTTGGCTGAAAAAGAACAGGTTTTATTCTTACTTGGCTTGATTGGACTACAGTGGACTCAGTCTGTGTCTGTGGCCAGATAAGCTGGTGGCAATAGGCAGAGACAGTGGAGTAACAGATAACAGACCACCATGGGGAACCTGGGACATGAAAGTCAGATATTTCTTGTTGCTTCTTTCCCTCCTTCCAAGTTCTCAGGTCCCTCAAAATAGTATACAAAAATAGGTAAGTAATGGAGACTAGACTATGCCTAGGAGTCCTACCCAGTTTTTCTTGGGCTTATCTCACTGCACTGTTGTTTTCCCTGTTTTTTTTCCAGACGTTCTTCGACACACCTTTACTTCCCTGGGCTATGAAGTACATCCTTTCTTATATCTTCATGTGAGTGAGATAGATCGGGTTCTTCACCAATTTGCCTGTAAGCCCCAGCACCGAGACTACGACAGCTTTGTATGTGTCCTGGTGAGCCGCGGAGGCTCCCAAAGCGTGTTTGGCGTGGATCAGACTCAGTCAGGGTTCTCCTTGGATCAGATCAGAAGGATGTTCACTGGGGATGTGTGCCCTTTCCTTATAGGGAAACCAAAGCTTTTTTTATTCAGAACTATGTGGTGTCAGAGGGCCATCTGGAAGACAGCAGTCTCTTAGAAGTGGATGGACCAGCGATGCACAATATGGAATCCAGGGTTCAGCAACCTGGGCACTACATGGTTCACCGAGAAGCTGACATCTTCTGGAGCCTGTGTATAGCAGATGTGTCCTTGCTGGAGCAGTCCTCTAGCTTACCCTCTGTATACCTGAAGAGCCTCTCCCAGAAGCTGGAACAAGAAAGGTGAGTCTACTGGGAGGACTATTTGTTTATAGTTCTGGTACCAAGAGGGGGATTATCGCTGTGCTGTGTTTGATGCCCCTTCACAGAAAAAAAGATTTTTTTCTTCCCTGTTATGGCTTTGATACAGACCCAGTACAATTTATGAACACTTTGTGTTAGTCAACTCGTGGTTCAGATATTTTTCTTAAATATGAATAATAAAAAAAAGATATTTTTCTTCAAAATTAAGAAATTACATTGTTTCTAATTATAATAGCAAAAATAGAAAAAAAATAACATCTAGATGCTGAAAGCAGAATGTAAGAAGCAGTTACAATACTACTGACTGGAACCAACCTCTAGCAGCCAAATGGTATACTGCCTTCCAGATATTATCTTTGGGAACCAACACAATCAAATGTGAATACGATGTTTGAGCCCAAATGCATCATTACCTACTACTACTTTTTAGCCTGCGTTTAGTTTGCGTGATGGTTGATCGCCTTTTTATATGTCAGTAGTCACATTTATACAACATAACATGATTTTAGTATCTTCAGAGTAGGCCATAGGATGGCTGTGGCTTATTCACTTGACCAGTCTTCAGTTGTCAGATAGCATTTTGCTTTTACATAAAGAACTTACTAAGTGTCTTTGGAGCTCAGAATTTGTGCTTTTCCTTAATCGTTTCCTTGGGGAGAATTCCCAGAAGTAGAACCACTGTGTCAAAAGACGTGTGTGTTTCAGTCCTTAAATGCATCTACTGGATGGTCTTCCAAGCGAGACACACCAGCTTTCTACATGAGTGGCTACATCCCCACATTCTTACTGCCACTGTATGTTCTTTTATTTCCTCATGTTTTATGAAAGTTTGATAAGTGAAAAATTATATCTACTGTTCAGATCTGCAAGTCTTTGTTATATATATATATAAGTTCCCTCATATCTGAGGTTTCACTTTATGGGAGTTTCAGTTACACATAGTCAACCATGGTCTGAAAATATGAAATGGAAAATTCCAAAAGTAAATAACTCATAACTTTTAAACAACTTTTATTACATTATATTAAATTATATTAGAGTATATTGTTATAATCATTCTATTTTTATTATTTGTTGTCAGTCTCTTCCCGGGCTTTGCCTTACGTTTTTTTAGTTTTTCAGTGCTAAGGATCAAACCACCATGGGGAACCTGGGACATGAAAGTCAGATATATTTCTTGTTGCTTCTTTCCTCATGTATGCTAGGCAAGTGTTCTCCCACCAGCTACGCTCCCAGCCTTTTTTTTTTTTTGGTTTCTTGAGTCAAGGTCTTGCTATATAGTACAGGTTGGCCTTAAACTGGTAATCCTCCTGCTACAGCCTCCCAAAAAATTGGGAATACAGCTGTGTGCCACCACATCTGGCCTTTTTTTCTCCCCAGTGCTGGGAATCAAACCTTTGTGTTTGCTAGGTAACTACTTTATAAACCTTTTGTGTGCTAAAAGGTTACTTAACTTTTAATAACAGTTCCACTTACATTTAAAATTAAGCTTTATACATATGGTAGTTTTTTGAGGGTAAAACCCAATTTTATTAGCATATTGCAGTTATAGGAAATTTCAGGTGCCCTTATCTAGTATGGTTTCAGGCATTCGCTGAGGGTCTTGGAGTGTATCCTCTGTGGATAAGGGGGACTTCCATAAATATTTTTGATGTTTATTGGGAAGAATACTTCTGTAAGATAAACATTGGCATCCTGGTTTTTAGTTAAACTGAATAAAGCTACAATGTACTTCAAGAATAAGATTAATTGGCCTTTTTTCAGTTGCCCCCTCCCCTAATTACAATTTAGGTGTTTCCAAGCCAACTGTTGAATGCATTTTGTTGTAGTTCTGAGGACAACAGAAGCAAATCTGGTAGCTTTTTTTCCCTTCCCAAATCCCCTCAGTGGTAGCTCAGCAGATAGATACTCCATGTGCTCATAGTGTTACTATTACTGGTCTTTTACACCCATCCTACCATTTGCATCGGCCACCCAGGTGGGTTACCATGAGGCTGGTGTATTTCCAGAGTAAAACTCAGCTGTCTATAGAGGAGGTGACAGTAGCCACTGGGCTAAGTGCTGCCAACTGGTTATTGGAATTATTCCACTAAAGCGTTTGTGGGAGCTTAGAAAGGGAAAACAGTTTCAAAAGAAACATGCCACATTCATGTGGTGGGTGTCTCATATTACTCTTCTAATGTACAATCGTGTGCTTCTCTTTTGGTATTTTGGCGCTGACATTATAACCTTTGGCTTTCTTATTTCCTCCAGGGGAAACGCCCCCATTTGTGGTTTCCTTTCATGTTTTGAAACTCATTCGACAATAAGTGTGTTTATTTTGAGTATGGAACAGCAGAGTTTCGGCTAAGGAGAAGTACTGTCTCAGTCTACAAGCACACTTCGTTTGAGAAGGGACCCAGCTCATCCTTGTACCTAGAACAGGAAAATGCAAAGCAGTCATAAAGCAGATTGTTACAGAATAGTGTGAAACCCTATATAAAAAACAAAGCTTTTATAAAATTAAAAAGGAGAATAAGTCTTCGGCCTCAACCTGGTTAGGGGAGCTGACTTTCCTAGCAAGCTAGAGGTCTTTAGTTCAATCTCCAGTACTGCCAAAAGGAGGGAGGAAGAGGCAGAGGAGAGAAAGAGGGTAAGCAGAGGAGTGTACAGCAGAGGGAGAGGACAGGGAGGAAGAAAGTAAGGAGAGGGTAAGAGGTGGAGGGGAGAGCAGAGGGAGGAGAGGAGAGGAAAGGAAAGGGTGAGGATAGGGAGAAGAGAAGGAGGAGGAGAGGGAAGGAAAGGAGAGGAGGGAAGAGGAGAGAAGATTCTTTAAAAAGAACACACTTTGCTAGTGCAAACAAAAACCACTTTGCTTGTGCTGTGGTAGAGCTTCTGTCTAAACAAGTGCAAGGCACAAAGTTCAAACCCCGGAACTACCAAAAACAACAACAACAAAAAAACCACACAACCCCTTAAAGTTATTTATTATTTATTTATTTTCATATTTTGGAAGCTGGTTTTAACTGGTGCATATGTTTGCACACACTTTGCCATGAGACTGAAAGGAGAGGAAGACATAGTTTTGACACACTGTAAGCTTCAAAAGTAATTTTTGTGGGCTGGTGGAGTGGCTCAAGTAGTAAAAAAAAGCAATTTTGTTCTTGTTGTTTAATGAGTGGACGATTAACATTTAGTATTTGCTGGGTCTCATGTACCAGATCCTGTGTTAGTTATTAGAAAGGGAAACTAAGAGCTGTGTTTAAAAACAAAAACAAAAGCCATTTTTTATTAGTTTATGGTGGTTGCACAGGGTTTTTGTTGTGACATTTTCATTTATGCATATAATGTACCCCAGTTTGGTACTGAGAACATTCTTAATGACTGGGCAGTTCTGGTAGCCTTCTGCAGGTGACAAGCATTTTCTGTGTATTCTGGTTCTTATCATTACCATAATAGTACATTGCTCTTACTTTTGAGGTAGGATCACCACTGCTCTTAAATCATTATATCACAGTTGCTCTTGCTTTTTGGGGTATAGTTTGCTTCAAAATACTATGTATAGCATCTTTTAAAAAATTAGTGTAAATTAATGGTACAGAGAAGTTTCACTGTGATATTTACATATATGCATATTATGTACTTTGATCAAAATCAGCCCTTCTAATTATTCTTTCTTATCCCCCCCATCCTTCTGCCCTTTTAAAACAGTTTTAGTGGGTCTAGATTTCATGATATCTTCTTTGCTTCATCCAAAAAGTTCAAATAAATTCAAAAAGTTCAAATAAATAAGAAGCACAGTATTTATATTGCTTTTTAGTTTTATGTATTTTTTAATATGTTACTAAAATAACATAAGTAAAACTTTACAAGTTTAACAAATTAAGTTTTAATATGTAAATATTGGTAATAAATTGAATCAGTTACTTATTCACTCAACTGTACAGTAAAATTATTGCTTTTAAGTTGTCTTTATATTCCTGTTCCTTATCAGGTTTACATATCAAATTCTATTAGGTTATTTCATGCCATGATAGTCTATGATTCAGGGTTTGATACATGAGACTTACCTGTGCTTTTTAAAAGGTTAGTTCTGTGAGTTCATTATCTAATTGGATGGGAGTTTTTATACTTAAAGTGCTTACATATAACACTTATTAAAAAATTAGATTATAAAGTTATTAGATCTATCCAGTGCTTCAAGAGCTATGGGTTTTTGACATTGTAACCTTTACTCATAAGATTTCTTTTTATATTTTGTGAGTTTTACCTCAATATTCCTTTTTCCAAGATAAAATTTTTTGTGCATTTGAAAATTTTAGTATGATGTTATAAAAAACATTTATATATATAATACTTGTGTAATATATTATTATACTTAAATATAAAATAAAAATGTTAAAAAAGTTCTCATGTCTTTAATATATGTTTTTTTAAACATTGAATTATTTACTTTCCAAAAATTCACTCATTCATTTAACAAACATTTACTAAGTGCCTAACTATGTGCCAGGTACTGGAGATAAATCAGAGAACAAACTGTACAAGAATCCAGCCAAGTACCTGCCCTCAATGGAGCTCACAATCTTGTGGGGGCTGGAGGATGGGCTATAAATGATACCAAAAATGAGTGCATAGAATATTTGGCGTATTACATTTTGATATGGACCAGTGAGGTGAGTAAAGGAGGTGAGTAAGTGGGAGAAGGGTAAGTTGTACAGATGGTCAGGAAAGGTCTAAGGTAGTGGCATTTGGAAAAAGGCTTTTCAAAAGTGACTATTATATACCTAGAAGTGACACATTTCTCCATCAAATCTGTCATACCCTTTTAAACAGCTTTGGTGATTCTGTAATACATTTCTTCATCACAAATATAATCTATAACGTAGTGATTTTGTAGACTTTAAAAAGTCCATGCCTAATACCACTCTTGGGGATATACCCAAAAGACTGTGACACAGGTTACTCCAGAGGCATCTGCACATCCATGTTTATTGCGGCACTATTCACAATAGCCAAGTTATGGAAACAGCCAAGATGCCCCAGCACAGATGAATGGATTACGAAAATGTGGTATCTATACACAATGGAATTTTATGCAGCCATGAAGAAGAACGAAATGTTATCATTCGCTGGTAAATGGATGGAATTGGAGAACATCATTCTGAGTGAGGTTAGCCTGGC